AGGCAGGGAGGGAGCCCTGGAGTTATTCATGGATGGAAATCCGTGTGGGTGGGAGCTGTGTGTGACAAACGGGCTGGAGTTTACTCTCAGCCCCTGTCTTCAGTCTGGAAATAAATCCAGAGCCAGGGATCCCCCTGAGCTGGCAGCTCTGTCCCCAGCAGCTCCCTCCGTGCTATCCCTGGAAATACTAAATCCTGCTTTGCATCCAGGTGCTAAATTTGTGGAAAAGGCTCCTCTCTCAGCCTGGTTTTCTAGAGAGGAAAGATCAGCAGAAACCTGAACCTCACTGGAACCTTATGTGCCATTTCACAATAACAATAACAATAATAATAATGGTAATATTTATAATAGTAACTGCCCTGCTTTAATAACCTCCATTTCCACAGCACAGGCCCCAGTCATGGATCGCAGCCTGATTTACAAATGAAAATAAACCAAGATACAGGACTCCACTCACATGGAAATTCTGATGTTGACTTTTTGACTCCCTCGCTAGTGAAATAAAGAAAACCCTGTAATTCTTACAGTTTTGCCATCAAAGTGCAAATAAGGAGCTTTACACATGCCTGGACATGGTGGGCTGAAATATTCCTGTAGTATTTATTATAATCACCATTTTAGTACCCACAAACACATTTTTAGAGCATCCATAACCTCATGGTGGTGATGAATGATTCATGTACTGGGACATGAGTGATTCTTCCTGTTCAACAATATGTATGTGAATGTGGGGGGGTGTTTCTATTTTTGAGGGCCTTTAAATTAGCAAGTTCTTTATAATTGTGGCTTTTCAAACCGAGGTGACTAAAATTCACCTCCCAAATCTGTGTGGGGACGTCTCTCAAGGAGAGCAGGAGGCTGGAGGTGTCCTGTCCCCTCTCTGGGGTGAGTTCTGAGGGTAGAGATAAGGCTGGAACCAAAAGGTGCTCAGAGAAAACAGATCAAATGTTGGACAGCTAATTCCAGACTCCAGCAATCCCAGAGATAATCACATTTTTCTCAGCTGTCATACAAATATGTAAAAGCTTGAAATAAACAGATACAAAGGGGCTGGAGGTCAGAGAGTGCTTGTTGCAGAGAATCTTAATTTACTGAAGCTCCAGATTGCCTGAGATGTCAAAATAGGATGGAGTTTAGACAAGTCATTTGCAAGGTGCCATATTTTAGGTAATAGCTCGAAGTTCTCTGCTGGAGAGTGTCAGCTGCAGCGTTCAGGGGAGCTGATTGGAAAACCTGAGCTGCTGCTGAAGGGTTCATTCCTCTCCCTGGAGCTGCAGATTGCACAGAGCACTCTCAGTGCTGTTGATTTTGCTGATCCATCCCCAGCGCTGGCAGTTGGCAACCTGGGGCAGTGAGCAGGATCAAATATTTGTATTTATGTGTGTATTTATCAGTGCCTGCAGACCCTGGGAACCTCACACCGGAACAGCCGAGCCTACAGAGAAATCTGGGATAAATGAGAGAGAAAGGATGCGGGAGGATGCCCTGCCCAGGCTGCAGAGGGTTCCTCTCCTTCAGGTTACTCCACAATTACCTTTCCCCAGGCAGCTCAGTGGGTTTATTTATCTCCTGTGAAATGTGAAGTGTGGCCATTCCCGAGCTGGGGCAGCCCTGCAGGGCTTGGGGCTGTGCTCTGTTATCACAGCTTTTATTGCTCCTTGCAGTCTCTCCCTCTCCCCAGCGCTCCAGAACACATAAGGCTGCATTTACATTTTCTGAATGGACTAATCATGGCTCTCTGCTTTGATAAAGAAAGTGCAGCCTCCCACATAACCACATGGAAACCAACAGGGAAGAGTAAACCAGAAATAAACCCATTCTGGGGGGTTGTGAGAAAAATACCCACCAGGATAATTGGGAGGGATGTAGAGAGAAGCAGCAACTGAACACATAGTCACATCTTCAAAAAAAAAAAAAAAAAAATAAATTACAATGCTAAAAATACCCAGGTGAAGGACAGCGAGAGAAAACATGATTGAAGAGGAACAATTGGGAGAGGAGTTAATAGTTATTAGCAATCACTTCAGATTGAATATAGGTTGGTTTTGTAACAGCACAAGGGATGATGCATCTGACAGGACTTAAACAATTGCCTCCCCCTTCCCCAAAGGATCTCGCTGGCACTCACTGCTCAGTCTCCCTGCTCCTCTGGACTCACTGAAAGTTTCTTATTTGTAAAAGACAGCCAAGTTTGATCCCAGAGAAAGCTTCCCAAACCTATATTCCAAGCCTTAATACATTTTAACCTTCATCCCACTGTATTTTCTCGTGTAGCCTTAAAAAAATAACCCTGGGAGGCCAAAGTTCCACCAGTCTGGGATCTTTTTATCCAATTTTGCCTTTGCCTGGGCAGGAGTGTGAGAATGGAGCAATGTTTATGATGTTTCTGCAAACACTCCCCCATCACCCAACTGTTTGCTGTGCCAGCCTGGTTTCTGTGCATTTATTAACAATCTGTGGACTTCTTTCCCTTGGAATTGCAATTCCTCAGTGTCCAGGGAATCTGGGGATGTTTTGCACCCAGACATCCTGTGGCAGGAGGCTTTACAGCTCAGTGTGGACGTGCTCACTGTCCTGCACCTCCTGGCACTGGAATATCAGCTCTGGGCATGTGGGAAATCCAAAACCGAGTCCCAGATTTTCCTCCGTGTTCACAAGGAATTTGTGCACAGAGGGTGAAATTGAAAACGAGTTATCCTGAAAGGATTGTGAGGAGCGTGAGCCAAATCCATCCTGCTCATAACTGAGAGCTACAAACCCGTGGAGATGGGAGTTTTTCGAAGGGGATTTTGTGGCTGTTGCTTTAGAGGAAGCGTGTCTGGCAATTGTTACAGGCTGGTTCTCGTGGGTCCCTCCCAGCTCAGGACATTCCCTGGCTCCAGCAGCTTGACTTGAGCTCCAAGGAGAGGATGGGAGGGTGGGGAGCTGCTGATTCAGAGCTCAGGATGGGTTTGAGGAGAAGAACACCCAGGGAATGGCACTTTCTGTGCCAGGCCTGTGCCACCCAGGGGGACCAGCTCTGTCTCGGGTGCTCCCTGCTCTGAGCTGCAGAGTGAGGTTTTCCAGCTGCTTTTCCCAGCAGGTTTGTCCCTTCCCTGCTCCCTCAGCCTCTGGGGCAGGGCGAGGGGGAAATTCCAGGCACATCCATGGGCAGAGCCCAGCGTGCTGCAGGCAGGGCTGGCTCTCTCAGCACACTCTGTGTCCTGCACACAGGGTCCCTCTGTGCCCCTCCTGACCCTGCTGTGGGGACAAACCGATGGATGGCCACGGCCAGGCAGGCTCAGCATGGATCCCACTCAGCTCAGGGTGATTTGGGATGTGGGAGGCACAGGGGAATCTGTGGCTCATCCCATCCAAACCCTGCCCAAGCCTTTCCTGCAGGGGGACAGTGACACAGGAGCAGAATGTCACAGGGAAGGGGCTCTTTAGGAGCCCGTGTCACCTAAAATATACCCACACTGACTGCTCCCCTGCTTTTGTGGGGTCACAGGCTTCTCTCTAAAGCCTAAAACTTGCACATTTTCCTTTCCAGTGTGGCAGTGAACCTGTTTTCCACACACTGTGTGTGTGTGCCCGTGGAAGTTAGGTGGAAATGTGGAAAGCACAGCAGATTTTACACAGTGGTTCATAAATCAGTAGAAAATTCTTTTACAAAACTGTTCAGAAATGAGGAAGGAAAGCTTGAATGTAACAGAATTTCTGCAGCATGGAAAAGAAGTCAAAGGTGGGGGGGAATAACATCTACAACAGTCTTTACTTGATGGAGTCAGAAATATTGCCAAGAGGTTGGGTTTTCTCTAGATTACTATAAGAAATCACTCCAAAAGAGATAAAAAACCAGGGTTGTGAGTCCTTAATAAAACTGTGCATGTAAAGAACAATAATTCCACGAAACCCTGAACACGTAGGAAACCCAGCCCACGCTGTTTTGCATGTGTAACCTATCTGACCAGCTGTATTATAACCCTGGTTATTTATAAAACAACCCAAGCTGTTTTTCTTTTCAACTCGCAGCTCCACTCGAGGAGCAGTGATTCATGTTCCGCTTGCTGGGAACTCTGCAGTTCCATGCCTGGCATGTGGGAAAGTCGGGATGAGAGAGAGAGACGTGAGAATTACCAAGTGGGGATGTGTTATCTTGTGTAGAAACAACAACTTGGACCAAAAATACTCCGGCACTGAGCAGGACCCAGCAGCATCCTGGTGTTTGATCCCCTGCCCTAAAGCCACACTTTCCACCGGTTTCAAAAAGATGGAGGGAGCTTAGAACTGGGGGGGAAATGGGAAAAAAAATAAAATTGAGATGAAGGTGACTGTAAACCTCACAAAAAATCTGCTTGCAGCATTCAGAGAAGAATTTCTGAGAGTTTTCCTTCCAGGGGTTCTTCGGGAAAGGGTGACAGATCCCCTGTTCTCCACTGGGGAAGATTGTTCTACACCAGCACTGGTGCTCAGCATTAAGTCTGAAAGGATTCCAGTTTTGCCTTACAAGATGTAAAAAAAGGAGTGTGGTAAGAGAAAAAAAGAGTGTTTTCCCTCAAATAATTTGACTGAACAATCTTCCAGCTCCTTGGGGACCCGGAATGTACCTACATTACATCCTCCTCCTCCACTTCTCCCTGTCACTCTCTCTCCATTGTGTCTATGTGAGAGCAACGTTAAACATCAAACTTCTAAAAATGAGCCGAGCCTCTTAGCAACTCCAAATGCCTCTTTAGCATACAATAACAATTGTTTGTTGCTTTTCGGTGTGTGGTTTAGATGGAGAAATGAGACAGCCTGAATTCCAGTTTGAAAACCCGCTCTCACCTCTTCTCTTGCGGTAGGGAACAGCTTAATGGATCTTTTTGGTGTAATGACAAATATTTTCCTTTTTCTGCTGTCTTTATTTACATCTCTAGGCAGTGGTGATCACAGCAGCCGCTGCCGTCTGTGTTCCCTCACCGGGATATTCACAACATTTCTATTTCTGGAAGAAAAGCACAACACGAATCTCTTACCTTCAAGCCATACGAATCCCTCCAGCAGAGGTGCGAGTACTTTGCTCCAAATAAATCCAAAAACACTCTCCACCGTGGCTTTTCCCAAGCTCTCCCAGGCTTTCAGGCAGACTTTTTGGTATTCGGCATTCACGCACAAGCAGAGGAGCAAAAAGAAAGAAAATCACCTGCCTGACCCCTGCCCGCTGGGAGCGGCGCAGGTGGAACTTGCCGTGCTTAACCCCGGGCTGAGGCAGAACTGGAACTTGAGGAGCTCGGGAAGCGGCGGAGGCTCCGGGGAAGCGGCGGTGCCGGGGCCAGGCTCCCCCGCCGCAATTCTCTGTCCATCTCCTTCAGCACACCGCCGGCTGCCGAGCCAGCAGCTCCGTCTGCATTCCCCGGCGCCCAGGCTTGGCTGGCGGCTGAGCAGAGCAGCCCCTTCCTCCCACGGACAGATCCCAACAACCTGTTTCCACCGCAGCTCCCTTGGCCGGCCGCGGGATGCCAATTCCCGCAGCGCTTCCCTCTCTGCCTCGCCCGCCGCTGCCGCTGCCGCTGCGGGGAGGGGAGAGGAGGGGAGGGGGCGAAGTTTCCTCCCCCGAATCCCTCGGACTCACCCC